GAAATACAATTCACTTATGTATAGTGACCTTATATCCCGAAAGCTTGTTAATTCACTTTAATTTCAGTAGCTTTTTTGTAGTTACCTAAGATTTTCTACATTTACCCATTCATGGTCATGTGAATATAGTTTTACTTCTTCCTCTTCAATCTTTAAATGATATAGGTATATACCATTTATATATGGCACACACATATATTTGTATATATCTATATGTCTATACATATCAATTATATTTTTTTTCCTTACTACGCTGGGTACTATCTCTAGTACAGTGTTGAATAAAGGTGGTCAGAAAGGACACCCTTATTTTTTTTTTTCATTTCTCAGTAGGAAAATGTTCAGTTTTTCACCATTCAATGTGATGTTAGCTATACTTTCTCAAAGATTACCTTTATTAAGGAAGTTCCCTTCCATTTCTACTTTTCTAAGTATCTTTCTAAAACATGTATGGGTGTTACATTTTGTTACAGGCTCTGCCTATATCTATTGAGATGATAAAGGACTTGTATGCATGCATATGAGCAAAACCAATGGACACAGTGCAGGGGGTGAGGGCTTGTGCTTGGGGGAGGGGGTGGCAGGGGAGAGATCAATGGGGGAAAAAGGAGACTCATGTAATACTTTAAACAATAAAGAATTAAATATTTTTAAATATTTTAACAAAATTAATATGATGAATTGCATTTATAATTTGTGTGTGTGTTGCATGCAGTTGAGTCAGCTCTGACTCCTGGTGATCCTCTGAGTGATGTCTACAATGCCTTGTCCTCAGCAGCCCTGCTCAGCTTCTGTCATGGCTTCTTTCATGGACTATCCATGCAGCTTTCCTCCAACACCATATTTCAAACAAACCCTTTCCCCCCATCTGTGATACACAGTAATTGGAATACGAGAGTGTAGAATATCTTAGCTTTGTCTGTAATAACATCTTTGTTCTTGGTGATCTTTCCTAATTCTGATGGTTGCCATTCTCAGTCTTGGCTATCTCTAAATTTCTTGGCTGTAGTCTTCATTTGAACTGATGACTGAACTAAGGTAAGCAAAATCTTTATTTCATTATCAATTCAATGTCTTCATTAAAGGTACATGTATTTCTCTCATTGTCATGATTTTTGTCTTCTTGATGTTTATATGGAGTCCTGCTTTGGCACTTTCTTCTTTCACTTTCATCAGAAGTTGTTTCAAATCATTACTACTTTCTGCCAGAAAGATGGTATCGTCTACATATCTTAAGTTATTGATATTTCTTCTCCCAGTTTTCACTCCTCCTTCCTGAGCCTAGCCCAGTTTTTCAGATGATATATTCTATGTACAAATTAAACAAATAGGGATAAAATTCACCCTTGTCTGATTCATTTGACAATAGAAACTATGTTCTTCCTTAAAACTAATTAATTCAGGTGTAATTTTGTTCTTATATTTTTAACTTTTCAAAGATGAAGTTTAAGGTAATTGATTTGAATCTTTCTCCTTTTCTAATATAAGTATTTAAAGCTATAAAATTCCTTCAAGGCACTGCTTTAACCAAACCCCACAAATTTTGATATGCTTTTATTACCATTCAATTCAAAATATTTTATAATTTTGCCTTAGATCCATGGGTTATTTAGAAAGGAGTTGTTAATTTCATCATAATTCCTACTTTAATTCTAATGTGGTCAAATAACATAGTCTGTATGATTTTAATACTTTTAGATTTAATCCTTTTAGATCTGTTTTATGGTCCTGCACATGGTCTGTGGGTGAATGTACTTGAGGAGAATTATATTCTGCTCTTGACATGTGTCACGTTATAGTCATAGGTGTCAATTAGGTCAAACTGGTTGATATTGTTCAAATTTTCTATATCTCTGATGATTTTCATGCTGCTTATTTCATCAGTTACTAAGAGAGGAATGATAAAATCTCCACATATTATTGTGAATTTGTCTACTCCGTCCAGTTTTGTCAGTTTTGTTTTGTGTTCTTTGAAGCTCTGTTACTAGGTACATAAACATTTAGGACTGATAGGTCTTCTTGATGAATATATTTTTTAATCATTATCTCTGCTAATAATACTTGCCTTGAAGTTTACTTTGCCTAATATTAATATTAGCCACTGCAGTTTTATGATTATTATTTGATGTGTATATTTTTCCGTGCTTTAAACATGCCAGTCAACAGTCATTTTGACATTCCTGGTGTTTATTTCTCTTTTTACCTTTTTATCGAAGAGGAAAGGCACAAATCATAAGTGTATGGCTCCATGAAATGTCCACAAACTGCACACACCCCTGTAAACAGCCTAGATAAGACACAATGTCCCACCAGAAGGGAACACCCGGGAGACTTCCCATGTGTTCCCTTCTGGTCCTCCCCAGCCCTCCAAGAAAACGACCATCTGACTTCTAACCTGATATTCAAACATGAAGATTCTAAAAAATTGAATTTATGATATTTACAGGTCAGGAAACCTGCGTTACTGCCATCCTTTGAAAAGTTAGATCTGGCCCATGGAGCCACCAATTCATCCTGTCACCTGCCTGACCCAATTATTTGTATCTTTATATTTAAAGAGTGTTTGTTACAGAAAGTATATAACTGGACCTTGCTTTATAGTTCAGTTTGATAATCTCTGCCTTTTATCTGAAGTTTTAGGTCATTTCTATGCAATTGTCCATAGAATTAGGTTGAAGTCTAGCATCTTGCTATTTTTCTTTATCCCATCTGTTCTTTGTTCCTTTTTTTCTCTTTTCCTGTCTTCTTTCGGAATACATTTTTTTCATCTCCACTCCATATATTGTCTTATTAGCTATATGTCAATATTTTGGGGTGTTTACTCTAGGGTTTAGAATAGGCATCTTTATAATATTCTACCTTCAAATAATACTATACCTATTCATGTATAATGTGAACCTTTCAACAATCTACATCCATTTTCCTTAATCTCATCCTATTGGTTTCATACATTTCATTTTCATGTGTTGAAATCCCCATAATATGCTATTATTTATGTCTAAATAGTCAATTATAACCCTAAGCTAACATTATACTCAATGGCAAACAAGACAAGGATGTCTACTTTTGCCAGTGTTATTCAACATACTTTTGGAAGTTCTAGCTAGAAGATTTAGATACAACAAATAAAAGGCATACAAATTGGAGAAGACGAAGCAAAATTATCTCTGTTTGCAAATTACATAATCTTACATGTAGAAAACCCTGATTCCACACTGAAAAACAACTGTAGAACTAATAAATAAAATTCAGCTAAGTTGCAGTTTACAAAATCAACACACAAAAGTCAGTTGTATTTCTATACACTAACAAGGAACAATCTGAAAATAAAAGTTAACAATTCCATTTACAATAACATCAAAAAGAATAAAATATTTAGAAATAAATTTAATCAAGGATATGAAAGACTCATACACTGAAAATTATAAAACATTGCTAACGGAAATTAAATAAGACAAATAAATGGAAAGACATTTCATGTTCATGGATTGGAAGACAATATTGTTAAGATGACAATAATATCTAAATGATGTACAGATTCAATGCAATCCCTCTGGAAACTCCAATGGCATTTTCAGAGAAAAAAAATTATATAATATCTCAAAGTTCCCCAAATAGCCAAAACAATCTTGGGGAACTCACACTTCCTGTTTTCAAAACTTACTACAAAGCTATGCTAATCAAAACAGTGAGAAATCTAGATAACCACATGTAAAACTAGATATCCAACCTCCAATGAAGTTGGTATCTATTTTACACCACACAAGAGCTAAAACTATAAAACCATTAGAAGAAAACATGAGGAAAAGGCTTTATGACATTGGATTTTGCAATGATTTTGAGGGAGTTTGACATCAATGGCTGGGCAACAACAAGAAAGGAAAGTTGGACTTTATCAAAATTAAAAACATTTTTGCATCAAAAGATACCATCAAGAAACAGTTCACCAAATGGGAGAAAATATTTGAAAATCCTATATCTGATAAGGGATTAATAAGAATATTAATCTAATCTAGCCTCTAGGCCTAAATTCCAATTTATAGAAAGACGGGGGAATAGAAGGACAGGTTAAACACTAATATGGCTTAAAAAAAAACCAAACCCACAGACAAATCCAGAACATGAGAAATTCTAAAGATAACTGGCCTGGTAGGGACGTTGTACAGGGTTAAAAGAAACTAAACAGACAACATAAGACAACGCATAAACCTTGACTGAATCTTGGATTGTGGCTGGGGGATGAGGGAAAGCTTTAAAAGACATTCTTAAGAAAATTGGGAAAACATGAGTCTATGTTAAGTGCAAGAATAGTATTGTGGTTATGCACGAAAATGTACTTAACAAATGCATAATGGAATAATTAAAGTGTTATAAATTCTGAAATTTACTACTAAATAGTTCTGCCATAAAAATAAAATGAGTGATAGAAAATATCACAACAATGTCAAGAACTGTCAAATTTCAGGGGAAGGTATATCAGTGATCACTGTACTATTCCTTCCTCTTTTCTATAGATTTGAAGTTTTTCAAAATAAAAAGTTTAGGGTAAAAACGCTGTGGGCCACTAAACTATACAACTTAAAATGGTTAAAATGATGACGTTTATATTATGGAAATTTTATCTCAAAAAAGTAAAAGAGAGCTGTAAGTATCTGACATTGGGGAGCTAATGTATCTTAAATTGCTCTGCACAGTTCCATTCTCATAAACCACGATGTGAACAGCATCCCCTGGAGTTATGTAATGCCATGACACTGGCGACAGTGGTGTTCTCATGTTGAGATAGAGTTAGAAGGAAACACAGACTCTTTAGACAGAATTGAGGGGGGAAAAAAGGAAAAGATAAATTATATGATAAAATTACTTTTATACAACTTAATTCCTATTGTTAATCTTAGAATAAATAGAAGGAAGCAAGGCATGATAATTTGGCCAAAACTTGAGCATAGCCTCAACTGGTTAAGAGTTAATGTCAGAAACAAACCAAACTGGCCACACACCTGGGTTGATGGACGCGGGGGGAGGTGGTGGGAGAGGGCGGCCTTCTTTCATGGCTAGGCTGCACTGCTTTGCTGATTGAATTGCAAAAATAAAGTCTTCATGTTGTTGTCTCCAGTTAGCTTTCCTCACTGGTTGAGGCTACAAAAACAAAACAAAACAAAAAACATATACTATCCTAGACTTTATATGTCTCCATTATAATTTTTTTTTTTCTTTTGCAGCTGGGATTTGAATTTATAGGAAACAGGACTGTGAGATTTGGAGAGGGAAGCAGAATTTGTGTTTCAAAAGTACTAAAACGGGTTTGGAAAATACAGTAATAAAATTCACAAATCACAGTAGTGAAGGAAAACACAAAATAATCAGAAAAACAACATAACTATAAAACCTTAAAGGAAGACTTAAATGTAAGGTTAAAAGTGACTTTCTTCCAAGTTAACTGCTAGATTTAATGCTACTCTAATGAAAGTATAAACAAGATTCTTTTTTGTCACATCTGGAAAGTATCTGAAATACATTTGGAAATCTCAGTGAGCATGATTAAAAAGAAAACAGTAAAGGTGGATTATACTTACATGACTTTACATTGCTCTATCAAGCAAGAATGAAACCAGAGAGCCAGAAAGAGGCTTTAATGTACTTAAGGATGTAATCATGAACAATAAGGAAGATACTGATAATACCTTGGATTGAGGAGCCAGGCTCACAGTGGGAAAGTAAGTGCCCTGTAATCTTTGTTTTACGGAACTGAAAGGCTTACGCTTTTTGTTGAAGAGTTTTTTACATATTGGTCCATGCCTTTCCTAGAAAAGAAAGAGTGGGGATTAATTTTTTTTTTTTAAATGTACAAATCACCAAGTTTGTAATGCTGCAGTGTACTCAGGCAGCCCTCACTACAGGGACTGAGTTGTACCTTCAGAGCCAAGTACATTCTCCAACTCTCAAGTCACAGCAGAGCAAATCCATCTGGCTCCCCTCGCCCATGTTACACATAACTAGATATTATGTTCGAATGGTCAAGGTCAATAAAAGGTCTCTACAGCTAGAGAGACTTACTTCAAATTTGGTTTTACACATTTAACTCTACCACTTGGTCGGTATGAATGGTTCTGAGCATTAAATAATGTTGAAAAGACAAACTTTGTAGTTGAAACTGAAATAAATATTTCTGACCATTTAGCCATTTTAACCAATGAAGTTTTGTTGATTACTTCTTATTCAGTTTCCTGCCTTTACTGTTCCTAAATTTCAAAAGCAAGTCATCCAGTAATATAACAGGAAATTCGAGTTCCAATAACCTTAATATTCAGTTTTACCATCCTTTTGAAATAGCTCTGTGCATATAGCAAGGGGAAACGTAGCTTCCTACCAATAGAATCTTTTCAGAAAAACACCTCTTCCCACTCAGCATTTCAAAATTGAGTTTAAATGGGCCACTTTTCCACAGAACCACTTAACTCCTGAATAGGAGTGGAGAGGTTTCAAAGAAATAGTTGAGAACATCTGCAAAAGACAACTGGAACAACCACACAAATGCATGAAGAACATACCAATTCTGTTTAAGTTATAAACACATTTTCCTTGAATTGTACCCAAACATCTCACATGATTAGTCAAGTCATTTATTACAATAAATATTACAATATTTGCAATATGCTTAGTAGGGAAAACATTTTTAAAAATCTAGCCAGTAGTCCTCTGTATTTCTGTTACAAAAACCTGGGTACTAACACATTGAGCTCTGCCCATGTACTGACTTTATAGAGTCTGTTATTGCACCACTAAGATATTATACTAACATCTTTGCTTTCTACTCTAAATCCTCTTCGTTGGTGGATATGTAACTCATAAGAGCTATCACTTACATAGTTGCTTTGTTCAGACCCAACAAAACACATGCTCTATGAAAATCACTGCACCTGTCTATAAACAAGCCATACCATTTGAAACTAAAGGAGAGAGATCAGATCAGATGTTCTCTGTAGCCTAGAGATAGGCATAGGAAATAAAACTCTAGAGGACCTGAGGTGCACTTGACATTTAGTGACCCCTCTTCAAAGGGCACCTCCTGGGTCTCAAACCCCTTCCTCCCAAGGGGCGCGGCCCAGGCTGGAGAAGGCAAAGGCGGCAGCACTCCAGTGGGTGCCAGGCCACAAGAGGCCCTGGAGCTCTCCTTCTAGATTCAGGAAACTCTACCTGCACTTAATTAAAACGACAGTTACTTCATTTGTTTGTTTGTTTTTGTTAATCCTCACCCTAGGATATTTTCCACTTACTTTTAGGAAGAGTGGAAGAGAGAGGGAAAGACAGATGTGAGAGAAACACATCGATTGGTTGCCTCCTGCAGGAGCCCCAATTAGGGCCCAGGAGGGAGAGGAGCCTGCAACCAAGGTAGGTGCCCTTGACCGGAATCGAACCCAGGACCCTTTGGTCCGAAGGCCGATGCTCTATCCCAGTGGTTCTCAACCTTCCTAATGCCACGACCCTTTAATACAGTTCCTCATGTTGTGGTAACCCCCAATTTCATTGTTACAAATTGAACATAATTAAAGCATAGTGATTAATCACAAAAACAATATGTAATTATATATGTGTTTTCCGATGGTCTTAGGCAACCCCTGTGAAAGGGTCGTTCGACCCCCAAAGGGTCGCGACCCACAGGTTGAGAACCGCTGCTCTATCCACTGAGCAAAACCAGCTAGGGACATTTTTTTTTTTAATTCACCAGAGAAATAAAACCTACAAACCTCATTTTGCAGTCTTTTGCCTCAAACGTAGTCAGGCTTGTAGTCCAAATGCTTGTAGTTCCATGTAAGTCTCCTTGATCTAAATGTCCCAACTAACAACTGCATTATAAACCTAATTTTTTAAATCATTTTTTTCTTGGGAATCTTTTTCTAATGTTGGGGTCTAATACCTGTTTGATCCTCTAACTTTGAAATAAATCAAGCTTTATTCCACCTTACAGGCATCAATCAGGAAACGAGATGTGTAGCTTGAAATTGGCTTAACAATTAAATCTTGGAAAAGGCTTTATGTTCATTTTGTTCAAATTACATTAAAAGCCTGAAATTGGAGGATTCTGTCTTTGTACGTGGCAAAGCAGGAAACAGAGGGAGGTTAAAGGGCTTGTCAGAATTAGTGACAAATTTGAGGCTAAAAGCCAAGTTTCCAGATGCTCCAAATTCAATGTTCATTCCCCTCAACTAGCTAATTTCCCTGGTGCTTTGGCCTTAAAATTTGGATTTCTGATGCTTATAGAAAAGGAGAAAGAGCCAAAACCTCTCAAGAGACAATCAGCTGTGCCAAGATACTTTCTTCTGGCATCCTTTCAGTTAGAGAACCAGGTTTAATAAGTTCCCTTTTGAATGTGGGCAGCATCGGACAGCTTCCGTGTCCTCCGGGCCTGCCAACCGTAGGTTGTGTACTCCTCTTCCCGTGCTTTCCCTCCACATCTGTCTTTAATCTTTGCCACTGCGGCCTCCTCACTAACTTGACAGTTCATTTAACTCCAATGAAACACATCTACAAAATGTCTGTATGTTTACCAGAACATCTGCTGCAAAGCGTCTTCCACAGACTTCACAGGGAAATAAGGTCTGATTGCCATCTGTATAGGATCCAAGAGCACATTATGTTAGTTTCAAGGAATTGCCTGCCTGAGAAGAAATGACTAACTGGAGACCTCAATAGCTCGATATCTTCACTCTTTTTTTCTTTCCCACCAACTACTTCTTCTAGAAAGATCCTCTGTAAACTCACCTGTGTTTTCTTCTCATGCCATTAAACAGGTAAATTCTATATCCTTCAGGCCACCAGAATATAATTATAATTATTTAATAAATATATTCTTGAACAAAGTGCCTGATAGCTTTGCTTTAGACTTAAGTACAAAGTTAAGACCTTAGTATGAAGCCATAAATAATCCAATGGGAATGTCTTGAGGGTTACTACTAGAATGGAAGGTCTATAGGTGTGCTCAATGAAGGCACGCCAATTTATCAGAGACCATGACAAAAAAGTTGCCTCGTCATTGAATTTAAAGTAAACATTCCTGAGAATGGCTTCCTCTCTTCCCATAAACAATCTTTGCTGGAGAATAACTCCTAACAATGAAGGAGGAAGTAGAAGAGACTGATGAAACGGACCAAGTAGAACTGGTCTACTTTGATTGAAATCAGGAAAGAGGTGTGATTACAATGAAGAAGCCTATGAAAATGAGGAACATCACCCTAGCAGTGATGGCGAACCTATGACACGCATGTTAGAGGTGACACGCGAACTCATTTTTTTGGTTGATTTTTCTTTGTTAAATGGCATTTAAATATATAAAATAAATATCAAAAATATAAATCTTTGTTTTACTATGATTGCAAATATCAAAAAATTTCTATATGTGACACGGCACCAGAGTTAAGTTAAGGTTTTTCAAAATGCTGACACGCCGAGCTCAAAAGGTTCGCCATCACTGCCCTAGAGGTTGTGTTCAGGGTCAGACCTCCTGATGGGGCTAGTGAATGATACTGCTGGCATTTTATATGCAGTGGTGAATGAGTGAAGGATTATAATCACAATATGTTCAGTACTTGCTATTTTTTATTTTAATATTTAACCATATCGGTATTTTAAAAGTTAAATGAAGAATAAACTCGCCCTGGCCAGGTGGCTCAATTGGCTGGAGCCATCAACCAGAAAGTTGCAGATTTGATTCCTGGTCAGGACACATACCAGGTTTCAGGTTAGGGTGAGGATGGGAGGCAACTGATTGATGTTTCTCTTTCACACTGATGTTTCTCTTTCTCTCTCTTGCTTTTCTCCTCTCTTTAAAACCAATAGAAACATATCCTCGAGTAAGGGTTAAAAAAAAAAAAGAATAAACTCAAATATAAAAGAAAAAAAAAGCTGAAACTGGGCCCACTATGTCCCAATGCCTCAAAGTACCTGACCCATAGTAAAGTGCTCAATAAATACTTATTGAATGCATGGGCCAAACAAGAATTGCGTTTCCACCACAGGACCAATCATTCATTCAATAAATATCTGCTACATGCAACTCTGTGGGAATATTGAGAGAAACCATACGTGGGTCCAGCCCAGAAAAGGAGGAAAGTATGTACATAAATTAAGCGAAGTTAGCAAAGTGTCACGAGAAAGAGAAAACATTATGGAATTCTGAAAAAAAAAAAAAGAGTTGCACTTCATATTACTTCCTCTCTGTTCATCTGGAGTTGAGTATATACAGATTTAAAAAGCAGTTTGATCATGGGGAAGATTTTATATTAGAATAAAAATCTGGACTTTTTTCTCCAAACAGGGGGAGCAATCAAGAACACTGATGAGGAAAAATCTGAACTGTGGAAGACTGATGTGACAGAAAGGAGGAAAAAGAGAATTTTATTTAAAAAGCTGAAGTTGCAGGCCTGAAATAGAAAGGAAAGAGAAAATGGAAGACACTATGGTCAAAGAATTGACAGCATGACTAGATCTGGGGGATTTGGGTGATGGCAGTGAGAGAAGGATGCCTGAGGACAGAGAAGATGGTAGGGCTGTGGATAGAAATGGAGCATTTGAAAAATAGGGCCATCTTAGTGAGAAAAATGACCTCAGCTTTGGAAATACTGAGTTTGAAAGCGAGTCAGCCAGCCAGCAGGATGGAAATGAGGGAGGTCAGGGCTAGAGACACAGATGCAGGCTTTGTTTGGAGAGTGATGTAAAGGCATGATACTGCCAGGGAAGAGGTCATGGAAAGAGAAGCACAGGGATGATCCCGAGGGAACTCCATATTTGAGGGCCAAAGAGATGATGATGATAAGCCAGAAAGAGAAGCAGGAGAGAACAGGGTCATGGAAACCAAGGGAAGACAGTTCAAAAAAGGAAGGCTTGATTAACAGGAATCAGATGGTAGCTCATTACACACATTGTTGATTTAAATGATTTCTTCTCACATCTGCCAGATGGTATTGTATTTGCAACACAGGTCATCCATTACAGCATACAGCAACACCACTCATCCTCTCTGTGCTTTTGGCCTTCTCTGTAAAATACGGTCTTAATTTTTTTTTTTCCCAGCAAAGATATCCCACCCCTCCACATACTTACTTGTTAATAAATACTACTAATCCTAATTATAAAACTGCTTTTTCTAAAACACTAGTGAAGGTTTATTTGTATAAATATTACTTTAATATTTGTATAGTGTTTTCCTGTTCCCAAACACTTTTCCTGTGTAATCTCATTTGCTCCTCACAGTAATACTGTGAGACAGGGTTGGTATTCTTATTTACAGATAAGAAAATGGAGGTTCAAGGTTAGGTGACTTCTCTATGACCACAGATAATAAGTGGTAACACTGACACTTGAACCTGATAGGAGAATCAAGACTATTTATTCAACTGTTACCATAAATATAGCCATATTATGTCAGTACTCACCTGCAAAGCAAATGGAAGTCCCTAGAGAAACAACACCTTCTGGTTTATCAATCAGTGAGTGTTAAAGAGTTCAGTGAATTAAAAAATGACAGATACAATATGATTCAATTGAAATACATAGACCATCACATTCTGAATGACATTCAGCTTGGAAGCTTGACTAAGAAAGAAAGAAGCTTGTCTAAGTCAGTTGAACCAAACATGGAGACTAATAAGGTCTACAGAGTTTGTTCCAGAATGCTGAATCACATGGACTATATGATCACTAGAACCTTAAAATTCTTTGAAATAACCAAAACACCCTTCGATAGGTGAATCATTAAATAAACTGTGACATTCATACCTGGAATACTACACATCAGTAGAAAGGAAACTATTGATACATGTACAACCTGGATGGATCTCAATGCTGAGTGAAAGCAGTCAATCTCAAAAGTCACATACTGTATGATTCCATTTGTATAACGTTCTCAAAGTGACAAAATTATAACGATGGAAATTAGATGAGTGACCTCCAAGAGGTAGGGTTGGTCGGGGAGGGAGGTTGTTGTGATTATATAGGAGTAGAGTGAAGAAGATGTTTAGGTGATGGAATGGTCCTGTATATTGTAGTGGTTACACATGTATAATATGGTACAGAACTATATATTTCTTGGTTTGGCTATTGTACTGTAGTTATTTAAGATGTAACTTGGGGAAAACTAGGTCAAGTGTACATCGGCGCTCATACTATTTTGAAACTTTGTGAACTGTAATTATGTCAAAATTAAAAGTTTTTAAAAATATCTAGGAGTTGGCAAATTGTGGCCCATGGGCCAAATCTGGAGCTGCATGTTTTTGTAAATAAATTTGTCTTGGTAAACAGTTATGCCCATTCGTTTGTTTATATAATATATATTGCTGCTTTCACACGACAACAGCAGAGTAGTTGTAACAGAGACCATATGATTTGCAAAGCCAAAAATTATACGTGGTCTCTACAGAAAAAGATCGCCACCCAGCAAATGAGAATGTAGTCATTAGAAATTATTTTGGGAGAATAACATGGAAAATGTTAATGATATATTAACTATACAGGTCTCTCTATATATACATGCAGTAATTAACTCTGAGTGATAAGAATAAAAGTGCTTATTTCTTTTTCCTACATTTTCAATTTTTCTATAAAGATTTAAAAAATCAGAATAAAAGATTTAAAAAACCTATTTGAACCTCTTTCTCCATATGCCGGTAAGGTGCTCGGCCCTTCCGAGGAAGCCAAGGCTGTGGTGGGGAGGAGGGGGGCCTCACTTCACCCAGCCACGAGCACCATGCCTGGCAGTGCTCACTAAGTATGTGCCCACTGCATGGCCCCTGTCTGGAAGTTCACCTGCATCTACTAGGTCCTTATCCCACACGACAATGAGGTGACCACGATGAGGTGACCATGACGGAGGCTAAGTTCAATGCCCTCATTAAAGCAGCTGGTGTAAATGCTGAACCTTTCCGTCCAGGCCTGTTTGCAAAGGCTCTGGCCAGTGTCAACATCGGAAGCCTCATCTGCAATGGAGGAGCTGGTGGAACTGCCCCCTCCACCATGGCTGCACCAGCAAAGAAGGAAGAATCTGAGGAGTCTGATGATGACATGGCCTTTGGTCTTTTAGACTAAACCTCTTTTGTAACACATTTAATAACATGCTGAACTCTTAACACACAACCCTTTTGATAGAAAAGATTCTAAAATAATGAATATCAATTTAGCTATTCCTATCTTTACCCTGGCTAGAGTCTTACTTAGTAGATTATTAAAGTAGCTATTACTTTTATACATTGGTTTATAATCTTAGACAATTTTTTAAATGAGGAAAGGAAAGTGATCTGGAAGTGATCAACAGTTTTGTGTAGCATATTGACAGTGAAAAATAAGCATTACAAAGATCTCAGTTCAAAAAATTTATAAGAAGCTTGAAGAGGATTATGGTTGTAACGAAATTTGGGGAAAAATTCTACTTCTGACTAGACATTCTCTTTCTGAATTGGAAGAATGCTTTGTAAAAACACCTACTAACTCACATTTCCTTATAAAGGCAAGATAAAGAAATAAAAAGGGAGATGTTTTCTCATTCCCTTGTTAGCCAGTCAAAGCATTCTTAAATCCTTTACAATCCAGAACATGTAAACATTAGCAATTTCGACATCTTCCAAGGCCATATGGCAAAGCTGATATGACCTCAACTTACTAACTTATCTCAGGAACATGACTTGTGAAACTAGAAAAGGAATGAGTTAGGATGGCAGAGAAAACAGCCCATCAATATTTGTTCTCTCCCTAAGCCCCAAAATACTAGAGTACTGTAAACAGACAAAAGGACATAGCCAGAAAAACACAAGGACAGGGACAAAAGACAACAATAAAAAAAAAATTGGAAATCTGGAAAGCTGATGAACATGGTAACCAACTTGGAGGACTTAAAGCTACATCAAAATCCACTTCCCAAGCAGACAGGAGGGAGAATGGAGAACCATCCAGATTTGCACAGCAGAACCCTTCAAAGTCACAGGAGCCCCTGGAGCAGCACGCACCTCTGGAACTGAGACAGGGTAAATGAGGAGGAGAAAGAGACTGCTAAAATATGGGGGGTTGGGGTGCAAGTTTCCTAAGAAGTTAAGGTTCTAGACACTTCCCTTACTCCACACCCCCTGGGTGATTGCCCTTCCCCAGTGGCAGCATAGGTCTACTCTCCAGAAAGGGTGAAAGAGGAGGTCAGTGCAAGCATCAACACAAAGCACAGCTGAAGGTGTGTGTCGGTAGATGTAGATACACACACACACATATGGCTGATTCCCAGTATCTGTGGTAGTTACATTCCATAAAGTCTCTGTGAGCACTAAGTGAGCAAACACTGGATTTACTATTCTGGGGGGAAATACAAGGTTAGATTCCTGTGAGCCACTGGTCAGAAATTGTTATCAATCTATCAATACATACCTTGTTTTATGTATTTCTGTTTAAAGAGACCTTATTTAAATAAATATATTTGATTCAATATCACTGAACTCTGGGCCAACACTATAACTCATGCTGGAATGAAGTTTACCTAACAGACATATTTTCTCCGTAAGGCACACTGGAGCCTTCCTGTGCTTAGAAACATGAGATAACACTTCAACACTGCACTGAGGAGCCATTTTAAACAGCGAAATCACCAAGAGGAAGTGCACAGACATGAAAAATGTGACACCCAATGTACCGTGAAAAGGACACTTGTTTACAGCATGAGCTGAAACTAGAAGGCTTGTTCTACCTCAGCTGGGAACATGCATATCAGGTGACTCAACTTTATAACTGCTGCATGCATGTCTGTGAATGACCATGAAAGTGCCATGAGTATTGATTTTAGGGTTACAAACTTTAGGGAGTAGGCAAATTTGCAAATAGGGACTCCATTGATGAGAATTAACTGTATATGCATTTGTATGTGCACATGTATACACACACCAGGGTGTCCCCAAAAAATGTATACACGCTTTTAATAATTATTAATTCCAATGGGTCAAATCTGAAAAGAAAGAAACATCAATTGAGTTATCAGAAAATGTAAGTGTGTACATTTTCTGGGGACAACCCCTGTATGTATGTATATAATCTAGTGAATAACCTCATGAATAGCAATGCTGAGAGCAGAGAACACCCCATACATACCTTCCTCTACTTGGCTCACAGAACTCTGCTTGCTAGTCCTTTAGTCCCAAGACACAAAAACTTCCCTGGGAATATAACTATTCTCTGAGGAAAGAGGGAAGATGCTGACCTTGGGGAGAGTACCAAACAGCTCAACCAGGTTACCCTACAATAAAGCTCAAAACCATCAAACACTATTCATCCACTTAAAAGCTTCCAGTGTTCTCTTCCTCCAATCTTAATCATGGACACAACTTTCCAAAGACATGAGGAAAGTCTCTAGCACAAAAGACCAAAACAAAGCAATTTAAAGGAAAATTAAACCTCTTGGAAATTAAAAGACTTATTGAAGACATTAAAAACTCAATAGAAGGTTGGGAGATAAAACTAGGGAAATTTCCTAGAAATTAAAGTAAAATGACATAGAAAGGGAGAGAAACATAAGCCAGTACCTGTCCAGAAGGCCCTACTGGCCTACTCCAAACAATAGGGATTTAAGAGAGAAAATGAGAAAACACAAGGAAGGAAATAAAAACAATTATTAACCATTTCCAGAAGTGAAAGGACACCCGTCCCCTAGTTGAAAGGATGAAAATAGATCTATACCAGTAAACATCATTGTCAAATTTTAGAACATTGGAGACTAGAAAGTCTATCAACTCAGAGAAATAAAACCAGTAACATACAAAGTGTCATGGATTAGAATGACTTCAGATTCCAAACAGTAAAAATAAAAATAAATGGGACAAATCCTTTAAATTTCTGAGGGAAAATAATCTACAACCAAAAATGTATACCCATCAATCAAATATGCAGGTAGAATAAATACATTTCCAGACATTCAAGGTTTCAAAGTCTATACCCCGTGTATCCTGACTCAAGAATTGCTGGAGGATATGCTCCACAAGGTGAGCAAATA